TCTCCATTCCTTCAACTTTCTTAGTGAATTTTCTTCTCTGTTCGTGTGTTTTCTAAAAATTTTCTTTTCGTAAATTATGACAGATCGTTCAGATAGTAGTTGGCGTATTGGTGTTGGGATTGTTTGATTCGAGAACAGCACAGTGTCGGCCAAGTAGGGTTTTGGAGAGCATCGAATACTCGGCTTTGAGTTGCCGGAAACACACAGCCTCGTTGACGGATTTCGGCGGTGTTCCTGATGGAAAAACCTCTAATACGAAAGCATTTAAAGTTGCCATTGATAAACTAAGTAGTTTGGCTGGAGATGGTGGAGCTCAGCTCATTGTTCCTCCTGGGAAATGGCTCACTGGTAGTTTTAATCTCACTAGTCATTTTACTCTTTTTATCCAACAAGGAGCTGTTATTCTTGCATCTCAGGTAAATACAAATACAAGAAAAAGATTATAATGGAGTGATATATGTGTGTGTATATATATATATTTAATATGAAAATCAAGATGGTAATCAACTCTTTCTAAATGAAGTTATTAACCAGTTGGGTAATTTTAATAGGATGAATCAGAATGGCCTCTTCTTCCTCCATTGCCTTCTTACGGAAGAGGAAGAGATGCTCCCGGAGACAGGTTTAGTAGTCTCATTTTTGGCACAAATCTTACCGACGTGATAATTACTGGTAATGTAGTTTCTATATATCTACATATATATATATATATATAGTATTCATGACTTTGTTTATTGTTGGTTTTAGGAAATAATGGAACAATTGACGGACAAGGTGAATCGTGGTGGAAAAAATTCCGTAATGGCGAATTACATAATACCAGACCTTATCTGATTGAGATTATGCATTCAGACCGTGTTCAAATTTCAGACATTACTTTGATCAATTCACCTTCATGGAATGTTCATCCTGTTTATAGCAGGTAAATTGTAATAAACTACAGAATTAATTCTTATAGTTTTGATATAACCATAACAATTTGAAGTAAATTTTTGAATGATTGCCAGCAATGTTCTTGTCCAGAGACTCACAATTCTTGCACCAATCGATTCTCCTAATACAGATGGGATTGATCCAGGTAGTATAATAATAATACATTCTCTTGTAAATCGTGGATTTGAATCGAACTATACTTCTGTATTCGTCTCTAGTTAAACGTTATTTATGTAGTTTTGTGATTAGTATTTTTACGTTACGTAACTGATAATTGTATGCATCGATTTTTGTTCTTAATTGCCTACTAATCTAATATTAATTTTTGATTTGTGATTAGATTCTTGCACAAACACTAGAATTGAGGATTGTTACATAGTATCGGGAGATGATTGCATCGCGGTAAAAAGTGGTTGGGATCAATACGGGATAAAATTCGGAATGCCAACCGAGAAGCTGATCATTCGAAGACTTACTTGCATTTCCCCCGATAGTGCCACAATCGCTCTAGGTAGTGAGATGTCCGGAGGAATTAAGGATGTTAGAGCCGAAGATATCATAGCAATCAACACACAATCTGGTATTAGAATCAAAACCGCCATTGGAAGAGGAGCTTATGTTCGAGACATCTTTGTAAGAAGAATGAACATGAAGACCATGAAGTATGTGTTTTGGATGTCAGGGTCTTATAATCAACACCCTGATCCCGGCTTTGATCCGAAAGCATTTCCCAAGATCGAAAACATAAACTACAAAGACGTAAGGGCTGAAAACGTAACATACTCAGCGAGACTTGAGGGAATTCCACAAGACCCCTTTACCGGAGTATGCATTTCTAATGTCAGTATCAATTTGACTGAAAAACCAAAGGAGTTGCAGTGGAATTGCACCAACATCGCCGGAGTTACAAGCCATGTGAATCCTAAGGCTTGTAATCTGTTGCCGGAGAAAGAAGAACCTATTAATTGTCCTTTTCCGAATGATAGGTTACCGATCGAGGATATCTCGATACAAAAATGTAAAATATAGTAAACAAATATAGCATCGTTACGAAATAATTTTCGTTAAACTTATTTTAAAAAATAGAAAAAGAGGTAATGCTATTGTATCTTAAACCTTAAATTTCTCTTAAAAATAAAAATTATACGTTACTTATTTATGAATTAATAATTATTTAAAAATAGTATCAAGTAAAAGATGTAATATTTAAATATCAGCATCTCTATTTTTACTAAAAGTTAATTTCAGATAATGTGGTATAGATTTATGCACGATTCATGTTTTTGACTTCATGTTAAAATATTAAATATCATTGATTGTGTATTTATTATTGTTTAAGCTATCAGTTACATTAATTATGTAGGATATATGTACATATACATGAAGTGGGTAATGATTTTGTTTTATTCCAAGTATAGATATTCATTTAATTAACATCCTCGTATATATTTTTAACTTCTCATTATATATATACACACGTGTACACACACAATGCAAGATAAAACTCAGTGTTCTTCGGAGCCCCCCATCAATGGAGTTAGTGGGTATCAAGCATCAAAACTTCCATGTAAGTATACTCTTCTCTTCGCCCCTCAAGTTTTGCTAGAAAACATTATTCTTTTATATTTTTCAGTTTGTATAAATATTTTTTGCAGATCACTGAAATACTGTTTGGCGTATTGGTGCTGGGATTCTTGAATTTACGAACGGTGCAATGTGGATCAGATAAAAATTTGCAGGGCATTGAATATTCGGCTTTGAGTTGCCGTAAACATACTGCTTCTTTGGTGGATTTCGGCGGTGTTCCTGATGGAAAAACCTCTAATACAAAAGCGTTTAAAGCTGCTATCGACAAACTCAGTACTTTGGCCGGAGATGGTGGAGCTCAGCTCGTTGTTCCTCCTGGAAAGTGGTTGACTGGTAGTTTTAATCTTACTAGTCACTTTACACTTTTCATCCAACAAGGTGCCACCCTTCTCGCATCTCAGGTGAACGAAAAAAAACCCTAATAACGTATAACTCGTCGCTTTACGAGTGTATTATAAATTATCAGCGATCAGTTTATACTATTTGATCTAATAGAATCGAAAAGTTAACTCTCGGTCAAAAAATTCGGACTCATCCTTTTTTTTATTTAATTATATTTATATATGTATTACAGGATGAATCAGGATGGCCTCTTCTTCCTGCGTTGCCCTCTTACGGTGACAAAAGTTCTCCAGGAAGATACAGTAGTCTCATTTATGGAACAAATCTTACAGACGTGATAATTACAGGTGATTATGATTTTCAAATTATGTTCTTATGATTTTCTTACTTGTTATACAGCATAACATCAGTTATAATAATTAACTTGGATTTATTTTTATACCCAATTATCCTCAGGTAACAATGGGACCATTGATGGGCAAGGCAAACCTTGGTGGGAAAAGTATAAAAAGGGTGAATTTAAAAACACCCGTCCATGTCTGATTGAGATCGTGTACTCTGATCATGTCCAGATTTCTAATGTAACTCTGATAGATTCACCTGCATGGAATGTGCATCCGGTTTACAGCAGGTACGTTTATAACAATGGTATTATATATACATGCGTGTGTGTGTGTGTGTGTGTGTATATATATATATATAGAGAGAGAGAGAGAGATTTATAAAAGTTGGGTTTGATCTAGTGTTGAAATTGCAGCAATATCCTAATCCAAGGAGTCACAATTCTTGCACCAATTGATTCTGAAAATACAGATGGGATTAATCCAGGTTTACATATACATATATATATATATATTTCGACCGTAGCTTTATTTAAATTCTTGAACCAATTAGTTCTGGTTTTTATTTAAACTCTTAATTACTTACTAATCAATACAAATTTCTTGGTTTATCACCAGATTCTTGCACAAACACTAGAATTGAAGATTGCTTCGTAGTCTCAGCAGATGATTGCGTTGCCGTTAAGAGTGGTATTGATCAGTTTGGAATAAAATTTGGAATGCCAACCCAACAACTGATCATCAGAAGGCTCGCATGCATTTCGCCACGCAGTGCTGCAATCGCTCTTGGCAGCGAGATGTCTGGAGGAGTCAAAGATGTCAGAGCTGAAGACATCGTAGCAATCAACACAGAATCTGGTGTTAGAATTAAGACAGCCATTGGAAGAGGAGGCTACGTTAAGGACATATTTGTAAGGAGAATGACATTGAAGACCATGAAGTATGTGTTTTGGATGGCAGGCGACTATAAGTCACACCCGAGTCCTGGTTTTGATCCGCATGCTCTTCCTAAAATCGAAAACATAAACTACAACGATATAACGGCCGAAAATGTCACACTTTCGGCTAGCCTCGAGGGAATTCAACAAGATCCTTTTGCTGGAATATGTATTTCTAATGCGGAGATTGGCTTGAGCGAAAAAGCAAAGAAGTTGCAATGGGATTGCAGTGATGTGGCTGGAGTTACGAGCCGGGTTACGCCCAAAGCTTGCACTTTGCTGCCAGAAAAGGAACAACCTATGGATTGTCCTTTCCCAGATGATAAACTACCAATTGAGGATATTCCGCTGCAAAAATGTACAATATAGTGCATGCCAAAAGATGATCATCAAGAAAACTTTTGTAATATCTCAGAAGAAATAAACGAAATGAGTTTTCGGATTTAGTTCTCTTGTTATGCTTTTTGAAAATCGGATGATAAGGAATTATAGATCTTGTTACGATCCTTTAGTACGTGGGAATAAAAATCTGTCATCTAATAATATATTATATAGGAGTTAAATTGGTTCGATCCAACAATAATTATAAAAATTATAACTACGTTACGATATAGAAATAGTGATAATAACAAATTTCAACCAAACAGACTCCTTAAATATTGAATAGATTGGATCTTACAAACTATGGTGTCATTATAAGTCAGTTGGAGGCCTGAGCTTCACCAGCAACCTTGATGAAGACATCCTCAAGAGTGGTGTCAGCCAAACCCCAAGCAAAAACTGTGAACCTGCCCTTTGCATTCTCAACTGCTTGGAATACATCCGCGATTTGGACCTCGTGTTTTGGCAGCTCGAACTTCTGGGTTCCCGATATATGGTATATCTTTTTAGCATTCGGAGAAAGGTGCTGCACCAATTGCTCCACTTCTTCATCGTGATTCTCAGAAGTTGTCATCGTAAGCACGTAAGTTCCTCCATATCTAGCCTTCAACTATCATAAACAGATGGTAAACATCATTCAACAGTCATCTATGTAATATTTAAAGCTGAGTTTACTACATGAAAATATTTTCTAATTTTCGTTTTCTAAATTATATATAGTTTGTACATAAATAAGTTAATTTCATAATTTAAAAGAAAGATATATAGTAAAAGTGATTTGAGTTTAGAAATTATTCTTCACAAAATAATTTTTATGTATTGGACTAAAAAACACACCATATACATATTGTCATATAGATTAAAACACGCATAAACATAATATTTGAGAAACGAAAACTAATGTGCTTTGAGGTACCAAATTGAGACTTTAGTTTTGAGAACATAAATGAAAGGAGGAGGAAAGAAGGCACATAGCTACGTCTGATTTACATTTATCCTATTCAGATTACCATATTAGAGTTACCTCTTTTGCATTTCCTATGCACTGCAAGCTTCCATCAACAAAAATTCCTAATCGATCACACAGGACCTCTGCCTCTTCCATGGAATGAGCTGAGAAACATTTAAAACAACCTTTCTCAGCAAAACAATAGGTGAACATATCCTGTCATAATGAGATATGTTTGTTGGCTTAACAAACACAGTTTGGTGAATATCATATAAGCCTATGAAACAGGTATATGAAGGGCTACTTCCTTATTTCTTTTGAAAGCTCTAAGAGGAGGAGGATGAAGAGCAAATTATGTAAATTCAGAACTTATGGAAAGAGAAAAAATTAGAAAGGGAGATTACTAGTCAGAATAATTGCACGGTCTTGCTTTGCACGCTTAACAACGTCCCATAATTTATTCCGAGAGGCTGGATCCAGTCCAGTACTGGGTTCATCCATATAAACAACCTTGACAATTTCAAGAGTATTATACCATAACAGCATTAATGAGAGAAAACTACCATAAAGGTATGAATCAGAAAATTTAGTTGAAGATAGATGAGGACATACTCTAGGATTCCCAATCAGAGAAATGGCCACACTAAGCCTCCTCTTCATACCTCCACTATATTTCCCAGCTTGTTTGTCAGCAACGCCTCCATGATGCAGATTGACACTCTGGAGAGAGTCTTCCACTGCCTGAAATCAGAGGTACAGGTATTGGCAATAGAAAGGAAACAGAGACCACCTTCTACGTATTTTATAATAAAAAGTACCAATTAAACTTTTAATTGTATTCTTCAGTTTTTATCTTAAACCACATTCTCTATTTCTATGAAAATGCTTGCATTCAATTCTTGATTTACATAACAGATCCGTTATTCGTTGTAGTAAATGCAGAACTTTTGGGATTCTAAATCCGCCATAAAAAATGAGAGCTTACTTGCTTCAATGCAGAACCTTTGAGATTCTTAAGTCTGCCATAAAATAGTAAATGCTCCCTTCCCGTCAGGGTTTCCCAAAGAAGGCTGAAAGTAAGCAATCAATGGGAAGAAAAGATGAGAACTGTTGCAATTTTGCATAGGATGAAAGAAAAGACCCACTTTTCTTGCCACAAAAGTGATTAATAGCATACTCATGCTGTGGGCAGACACCCATGCTGGTATATATTCCATCCATATCTGTTCGAATGTCCAAGCCCTGAACAACTGCTGTCCCAGATGTTGGCTTTGTGAGTCCAATCATCTGTCAGAGACATAATGACTAAATTTGCTGAGAATATGCAAGACAAATAAAGTTTACCACTGTAAAGCAAAAACTCTCAGGCAACTTTGAAGTACGTTATGTGGAGGAAAAACTATAAGAAACAACAAAGGAGAGGAAAACTTGAAAACAATAACAATAAACATCACCCATGATGGCACCAGCAATATGCCTATTCTTTGAGTATCATCCTACCAGGAAATTGTCTCACCCTTCTTAGTTATTTCTTAGATATGAGATACCCAGAAAAGTTCTTTCAAGATCCCGATGGACATTTCTTTTATCTCACATAAAAGGCAGTGAAACATGGAGTCTACAAAAGTGGCTTACAGAAATCTAGGTTTACTAATTACAGATATTGAACGGCATTTACACTTACCATACTAATAAAAGATGTCTTGCCTGCGCCATTAGGACCCAGCATACCAAAGCATTCCCCTTGCAGCAAAGCAAGAGATAGACCTTTTACAGCAAAGTTTGCAGGGTTTCCATCCCTCCCTGGATACACTTTCTTGAGGTTGTCACATATGATAGCATGGCTTGTGCTTGATTCAACTAGCAGCTGTTCAACCTTTTCTCTCTGGAAATAAAATAAATTATAAAAAATGAGTTGTCAGATAACAGGATATAACTAAAACAATTTAATAATAGAATAGGAATAAGTAACCCCAAAACGATACAGAACTTGGACTGCTATACTACTACAGTGAGGAGAGAATAAGCATTGATCGTCTTCAACAAGAGAATTTGAAGAGAAGAGAAAAGAAAACTACATATCAAGAATTTCATAGGCGTGCAAATTCAAGCATACCCATACAAAATATGAGAACATGTGCCGCACATTTAAGTTTTACTAGATTGACAAATTTTGTTTAGTAAACCAGCTTTCTTGCAATCCAGTTGGTGGTCTTTGACATGTTTGGAAAGCTTAACCCTGAATAGAAACAAAAAGTAAAGAGAAACAAACAGAGTTACCTCCTGATTGACATCTGGTTTCTCCATCTGAACTAACACTTTAGACTCCTGCCTTTGAAGGGTAGGCTTTTCAGAAGCGGAAGAAGGTTTCTTCCGGAGTTTTTGCAAGAAAAATAAAGGACTTTTTCTATTTCCTGAAGATGCAATTTTATCTACATAATATGCAAAAATAAGAATCACCAGCCACTCAACTATCATGATAACTAGGACTTCTTTCATCCCACTTTCACTAAGATCTCTCCACTGCATCCCATAAGTCCCACTAGAGAACCCCCTGCTGGCATATTGCGAAAACTCATATAGTCCACGGAATAGAGAGAAGCCAGGATATAACTCAAATCCAATAATCCAACCCCCTACAACAAAAGAAAATTGTCTCAATTTCAAGAGTTTTAAGAAGAATAAATCCAAATGAAATACAGAAGATAGACAACCAACAACATAATGGTATCCATGAAAAGAGCTACTGCCCATACTTGCACATTTTTTAGCAAAGTTGCAGGACATAAATTACAGAACGCAACAGCAACACAGAGCATACAATAGACTACCGTTCAATATTGTACCCAAAAACAAAATAAATAAATGTATTGAACCTTCATCTCGAAAGAGGTCCACAACCCCCCAAAATTTCTTTTTTTCTATTTTTTAAACTTTCAATTTTATCAAAAAGTTTCTTGCGATAACCTCCAGATACAAGGATCCTACTTGTTCAAGGCATGCAATGGTTAAAATGGTTCTTCCACACAAAACAGAAAGAAGATGAATCAATATAATACTCATCCAATTTCTTAAAATCCGGTTGATTTATGTTCAAAATACTTTATGAGACACCAAGACAAACATAGATGGCACCTAAAATCAAGAGATTTCTGAAAGTTACTAAATCTTCTTTTTTAATAGATAATAAAATTTGGATTCTAAATTACCAAAAAAGAGATCTAAGACAGAAGCTTGCTACAAGAAGTTTCAAACCCTTTCAAGTGCTCGCTAGGCCGTGCAGTTGAAACAAGCAAATAAATTTTATTCTTAGGCCTTGTGAACCAGAAAGTAAATTCTTTTCTGCAGTTTCTCAAACTTACTCGGGAATAATGGATCTTCAAGAAAGGATTGGAAAAGGAAGACACCCAGAAGACCAGTTCCAAAAACAAATATGTAAGCCACAACTGCAATGATGTACATTTGACCACATGAAAAAGTCAGTTACAATTAAGAAAGAAGCAAGCATTCTATTCACTAACTACTATAAAGTTACAAAATCATACCTGTAGCAGTCTTCACATTTGAAAACATTGAGGCAACCAGAAAAGCCAGGGCAATTTGCAGGTTTATGTAGATAAAATAGAACATGAATTGGATACCATAGTCATTGAGGCTGAAGAAGTACAAACCTGTCAGGAAGCAAACTAGCTACAGTTAACTTATACTAAAAAAAGAACTGAAACATGTCGAAGGCCTGCATTAATTACCTACGGATATGCCAAATATCACGAAACATAGCATGTAGAGTAGAGATATAGTAAGGAAATAGGTGTATGTAATCATCCAATATGGACCATCACCAAGCCCATGCATTTTCATCATGATTCTCAGTTTCTGTTGTTTCTCATATAGCAAGGATGTCAAAATCACCTACATCAGAAAGCAAAATTTAAGGAAACATGGACATAAATCAACAAGGTTACATCAAATAGCCATGGGATGATAGGTTGTACAAGATAGCTATAAGAATCACCAAGATGAAGTCAATCTCAGCAACTCAGGGAAGTATATGTATCATATGAGGAAAAAGGAGCTATTGTTAATTATTCATCATGGTCACAACCAGAGTCTTCATAGTTCAGATGAGTAGAACAAAAGTAGATATACATTTAAGAAATTCCTCAAGGAAAAATTGTAAACTTAAGAGACTATTGAGAGAATGACACATCAAGATTAAGAACATTTTCATGATAAATAACTTGACAAGGAAATGAAATCAAGAGTTACATTGAAAATGAGAACCAGCAGCTATACTTACAGGGAATAGCTGTAGAATAACCCATATATAGAAAAGTGGACCAATCACGGATGCAATATCCAGTCTGAGTTTAGTTTCTGCTTTGGGCATTTGTTTGACAAACTCAAACAGTATTCTAGCTCCAGGCCCTTGCAAAAACTGGAGGTACGCATTGGATGCCTATGATTATAAAAATAAAAAATGTCAGCATTCAGATAGATATAAGAGAAAAAAAAAAGCACATTAATGATGCAAACAGGAAAACAGTTGGTCTGAAATAACAAGGAATATTCAACCAAATTCAGAATACATACCAAATTCACAGAACGGGGGACTCGCACCAATTCAGAATGTTCTCTCACTGCTTTCTTCGTAGAGGTTGAATTATACCATATACTCAAATTAAAATTAAATATATTTGAGTTTAAGAAATCATAAGCTGTAAAAAAATTCAAATAGCCAGAATCATCATCTAGTTAATGAACATATTGATAAATAAGATCAAGAGACCAACCTGCAACAATCCCGTTAGTCTTTCCCTCTGAATTGCCTTTGTAATAACCCCTATATAGCTCATTGTTCACGTCAGTGGAAGTATTGCGCCATAAGTATAGACCTTGAACACATTCAACCTCTGAAAGAAATAATAAAGGTTCCTTAAGCAACAATCCTTGTAAGCAATTTAAAGCCCAAAAAAAATTCTTCTTTCCGCCATATTGTGTTTCCTAGTTTTTTCTTTTTTTGTTATGTTAACTGAAAATAACAATGTGGTTGAGTTACAAACTAAACTTGTTATGTTAATTATTTTGCTTTATCGACTTAATATCAGGGTCAAGATGAAAATAGGGAACAATGTGGTTGAGTTACCAACTAAACTCATCATGTTAGTCATATTTTGCTTTACCGACTTAATTTCAGGGTCAAGATGAAAATAGGGAGCCTTCTGTATGCATTTGCATGCGTGCAGATTCACCATATATGCTTTTACTTGCTCAGATGTGTGCAAGCATACATGCGCCTCTTTTTCATAATATTGATGTCCATTATTGTTCTTCATTCTGAATATCTTTATCATGGAGAACAATTGATTCGTCCTCATCCATTTTACAACAGGTGACCCTCACATTTAGCAGTTACATGGAATGAAGAATTTTATGAGAAAATCACCAACATAAGGGGCCAAAACTGTGTACCTTTTTGCAGATCAAGTTCTTGAATATGAATTGAATATGTAGAGTTTGGGATGCATTGCCGTTCAATGCTGTAGATGGGAAGTTTTGAATCAAAAGCAGTGTCAAGGAAATACGAATCTGGGGTCTCTGTTGCCGTACCCTTAAACATTTTATGAAACCGACTATAAGTAAAGCTATAAAGGGAAGAATAACCACAACCATGAGAATGAAAGCTAAAAAAGAGAACCATAATCAAGTGAAAATTAAAGAACTCCAAGAGAAAAGGAAAAACGAACATACCAGGACATAGTTGGCTAAACTACCAGTATCATCGGAAAGGTTGAGAAGGAAAGAATTAGAGAACATATTCCCAGCAAGAGCTGTCAAGTACGAAGATTAATGTCAAACCAGCACATGGACGTTGATATTAAAATCCTCATGGGAAGAAGGATAGATACTTGAAGCAAAAAGCTTCGAACATTAGAAGGTAGCGAGAAATATACCTTCTCCGAGAGACCGATTATTCCCAGTCAAAAATACAGTTGCGGGACAGGTTCCTGCTCTCCTGCATGATTCATTTGGCAAGTCTGGGGATGGAATGAAACTGGTTCTCACTGCACGTTGTTCAGGAGGTGGTATTTGTAATAACGGAGGCCACTCTAGAGGACTACGAATAGGACAAAAATTTTCTTGCTGCAAAGACTGCAACGCAC